GAAAATGAAAGTCCAATGGTGTAAACTAAAAAACAGAACCATTAGGGTTAAAGAGATTCGTGGGTAATTTCGTGGGTAATTCGTGGGTAATTTCGTGGGTATTTCATGGGTATTTCGTGGGTATTTTTTCCCCAAAACCTACCCACGTTTCCAAAACGTGGGTTTTTTTTCCCAAAAAATAACCCACGTTTCCAAAACGTGGGTTTTTTTTCCCAAAAAATAACCCACGTTTCCAAAACGTGGTTTTTTTTTCCCAAAAAGTAACCCACGAATTTTAGGGGGAAGATATGGAAAAGGGGGTGTGAATGTGATGTGCGCACGCTCCGTGAGCTTAAGAAAAAAAAAATATGCGCAGAGGCCAAAAGAAAGTTGGGAAACAGCGCGCACGTTGCGTGGGTTCCGGAGGGCCCTGAGTCTAGATTGTTTTCGTCAAGAAGCTTTTAGATAAGTTCTTCGTTCAAATTTAATTATGATATGACATCCTTTTTACACGTGCTCAGGAAAGCTATGATTATTTTTTCGTTGAAATATTTTTTATAATGGGATACATAATCGAAATAAAGCGAGATCAGAAAATTTTCTGTCTTGTTTTTCATATAAATATACATTTTCTGATTAAGCCACACGCCTTTTCTGCAGACCCTTAAGCAGAAAAATGAAAGGGATATTATGATGGATGTTCTCTAGCATAGGTATGGGATAGTCACAATAAATCCGATTCAATCATGAAGTAAATAGAATGTGGTTGCATGACCTCCTACGGTACACTTATTCTTTTTGTTGCATTGTTCTGCATTAAATCTTCTTGCTTCATGGATGCTTTGTGTTGAGTTACGTTACCCGTAATTGTATTGCACATGGCCTTTAAAAAATACTGTCCAGAACCGTACCGTACCGAATTTCCAAACCGCGGGCCATAAAAARTCTATCATCCTGATGAAATTGTGACTTCCATCAAAATACGGCACGATTTCGAATCAATCCAGAATTGTTCGTCCCGTCGACTTTTCTAAAGGGACTTCCTCAACAAAGGCTGCACAACTAAATGGATAAAAGCAAAATCAGCCGGCAAACTCCTACGGCGTGTGTTTCCTGTGTGAATTTGTTTGCAATACTTCATCTCAAGGATCATTGATCGTTCTGGATATTGCTATGTATACGGATGTAGAGAATCCAAACGACCGAACAATCGTTTGGGAACAAGAAAGCGATGCAAGAGGCGTGATCCATGATCATATATCTCGCGAGCTCTACAACTTGAGCCACACAGATAGGAACGCCATCTACGAAGAAATACACGGCGTCCGATGCTTGGCGGTCGAAGAGAGTCCAGAGCTTCTCGCGAAGGCCCTCTATGCGTTTCAGGACCAGCTCGATATCGCAACACCCTCTAAAAAGTTGATCTACAATAAGATACTTAAGCTTCAAGAAAAAAACCAAGCGAATGGATCAGATTATGATGAAGATTTTCGAGATACGGCCGATTCTATGGATGACGATGCCATGAATCACAACACAGCAACGTCAGCTACAAAACCCCGACGCCATCGCCGTCCTTCATTTATGGAACGCGACGACTTCCGCTTGCGATTTTTGAGATGCGAATTGTTCGATGTTAACAAGGCCACCATTCGCTTCCTCAACTATCTTAATCTGGCGTACGAATTGTTTGGGAATGTAGCGTTGCGAAGACAGGTTCGGGCCGAGGATTTCACCAAGGAAGAATTGCGATTTATGAAATTAGGGTTCATCCAGCTTCTTCCCTATCGAGACCGGGCGGGAAGACGGGTGATGGCGGTACTGGGGGAAAGTACTTCTTTCCATCAAGATTTGTTTAAAAAGGCACTCGGAATCAGGTGTTCGGTACGTACTAACACGTTTAGAGAAGAAATACGCTAAAGGAATATTTTGTTGTTTGCAATTGTTTCTCGTCATCGTTGTGTTCCATTGCATCTTGTTCCTGCGTTCTGCTGTGCGTTTCTTGTAGTTTGTTCCGCTCTGCGGTCAAACTGATAGAACCGTCCAACGTTCCTGCTATTCACAACAACAAATCAGCAGGTTCGTTCCCGTCTCACATGTTTCTTTCGACAAAACATAGCTGAAAACTTACTTTTATATACGGGATGTCGCGACACGCGACTCAGTCGAATCGCAACGAAAGGGTACCGTCTTGTTGCTGGACTCATCGGCGTGGGATCAAAGTGGTAACCGAACCTTCTTTTCCTCAGAGTTGTATGCACAAACCAAAAAGGTGATTGCTGCCGTCCCAACTCGTATGGTGGCCATGCACTATTGCTTTCCAGAGTCTCCCGCCTTTCGTATCTTCAACGCACTCAGAATAGTAAACAGCACTACGCTACCGTATCTACTCAGGGTGCGGATTCACATCGGGAACGTGATCGAAAATAGGTACAAGATGAAGGGATACGGGATACCAGTACACATGCTTCCACTGACAGAAACTGGAAGTATCAAAGTCAAACCGTTTTATGATTGGATTAAACTGAGGATCGCGCTGGAGCAAAATGAAACGGAAAACACTAGAACCTACAATGGTTGTAAGGCCGACAACGGCGGCGACTCGATTCGAAGCTTTTTAAGTAGAGTTGTCGAATGCCCCTCTCTGAACGACGTTGTCTTTCGGCAAGGAACTCCATCGGTAAAAAATCCAGGAAACGTCATATTTCGAGACAAGATGATTGGCCACCTAGAAGAATACTACATTAAACAGCGAATCTGGGAAATTCCCAACCACCAACTACAAGTGCACCACATCGATAAGTTCTGTAGCTGGTTAATCTACGATACAGAAGTCCAGCGAAAGGGAAGGTTTCTAGAGTGGTCCAAAAAATGGAATACGTGGGTCGCAATGATCGAGCAGGATCGTATCAAGTCCAAGGTGTGTACTTCCTTTCGCGACACTTCGAGACGGTATTTTTCCTTCCGGAGGCAGGCTATGGCAAAGTCTTCGCCACGGCACCCAATCGCATCATCGCCACCACCAGGATCAACAGCTATGGATTTTGAAAGCGTGGTAAAATCTGATAGCGAGAAAGTATACGCCTTCGTGGAAGGAGGGAAGGCGGCGACGGAGAAAAAATCCATTTGCTTTGCGTCGCAGGAGTCGGCGTCGTCCACGAAAATCGATGGTATAACTCTGAGAGGTGATTCCAATTTCAACGAAACAGGCTCATGCTGGATGTCATCGTAGTAACTTTGAGGCTAAAAAACGAATAGTTCGTGATCAACCTCACTCTTTCATGTGAATCACGTATTAACAGAGACTAGAGACCATGCCATCTTTTCACAGGTGATGAACACTATGATATAATGGCATGGTCCGAACAGCATGTGCCAAATGCAACAACTTCACCAAAATAATTATTGGAATCCCTCCCACCAAGGCCTCCAAAAGAACTTCAAAGCGAGCTACTAGTAGTTGCAAAAGTTGTACCCATAGTGCCTCCTTGTAGTTGTCCCAAAGTCACATCTAGTCAGCTTCTTGTCCCATTATCTTCATCCAGCTGCAAAGAAGGGATATTGCAAAAATGGCAAATATAGAAACAAATAACTATACGAACACAACCAAGAACAAAAACAAATTGAGCATTGTTCTCTGGCTTGAATTGTTTCAAATAATGACTTCCTTCAAAATAGGAAGCAAATTTAGCATTTACTCTAGCAAATTCAGCACTGAAGGTGGGTCCCCTGATAAGACTACATTCACAGAAGACAGGTCACATAGTGGTATCTACTACTCATTACCTGTGTTTTTTACATGGGTTATTTTTGTTATCTGGATGTACAGGATGGTGAATTTTCTCCAGTTTCAAACCTGCAAAAGGATTTTTTGAAAACACGAAGTACTTCTTTATAGTTTACTCGTGCTCTATGCTATTCTTTGGCTGCTTCTGTAACTTTTGTTTATTTGTGTATTTTGGGGCTCCCAATTGCCCAATTGCCCATCCTGAAAAGGAGGGCATCTATTGAACACATATCACAGTCGCAATAAGAAAGCAATATGTGTTCGGTTGATCTGCTTTAGGTAGAGGAGCGGGTCGCGCTATTATGCACTTGGATTAGTAGCAGGTGCGTGACAACTTTCTCTGTATTCGGTGCTGTGTACTCGTCTCTGTGGTCATTTCGATTCGTCTCTTCCTCGGTTCTCTCTAGATGCATTGTCACTTTTCTTTTTCCCTACGTACAACCAACGCTCTCCTGTTTTGGACGCCAGGTACAATATTGAGTTCGGTACGAGCCGTGAGAGTGGTGCATGTTGCTGTTGTTGCTCATACCAACAGGCACAATCGCATCGGTGGCGAGCCTTTCGACGGTGATGCGTTCCGCAGACGCCCCTCCCTTGATCAAGCGTTCCACCAGCAAATCCTGGCGACTCGTCCACCTGGCATCGACGTTCACGTCCTCGTTGCTGCTCATAGTGACGACGATATTGTCGGAAAGAAGCGCCGCCGCTTCCAGGGCCCGCTCCGCAAGTTCGTCGATGCGTGCTTTCCAGGACATGGATGTATTCGAAACGCGATCCCCGTCGACGTGTTGAAAACTGCCGTAATCCTCATTCGCGGGCATGTTGCCTGACCGACGGGCAGAACAGATCGGGGAAATTGAATTTTACGACGGAGATCGCAAGAGAGTGTTAGTTATATGCTCGGCATCGACATCCAGATATGCGTGTCACTCGATGCCATGCAATTCCGTAACACTGCGGTCAAACATTGTGCCTTACTATTTCCATTTGAGGGAGTTATTAGATAGACAAAATTCGCAGACCAAATTCGACCCCGACGAGTAGTTTTTGCATTGCTGCTGACGCTGCTCCCTTGGGGTTCGTCGCTGTGCATGGATCTATTGTTCATTATATTGGTGCCTATMGTCGGGATGGGGTATCTTCTGGCTTGAAACTTGCGTTGAGTGAAAGTCATACAGAATTTTTCCATACTCACTCAACGACACAATTAGGAACGATCGTTGACGATGCTCGTTCGCAGACTAGAGAGAATTACGGTATGTTATCGACTTCATGATTTTCGTGTCAGCAGAATTTGTTCCTTTTACGAACTTCCCATAAATACTACGCAGAACCGGGAGTGTTCAGTTGACTGCCGTAGATATCATCTGTCCCATATTTTTGTCTGTTGCAATCCAAATAAAATTCTTCCCAAAAATTGGTGAACATTTAACTTAAGCCTGACTTAAAGTAATGTTTCTTATGAACTCTGTCGAGATTCCCTCCTTGTGAGGATGACCAAAACACAAGTATCGTAGCTACTAGTGATTGAAAATGGTGTGTGCTTGTACGTTGTCGTACGTTTAGAGCTCAAAACAAGTACGACTAGTAATGCAGGTCCGTACGTTGCCGGTTCCATAAAATTTCATGATTATTTATCAATCGTTTTGATCATTGTAGTCAAACAACTTGAATCTCGAACTTGACGATTCTTCCATGTGATAAGTACGAGTACTCGTAACTGGTACTCGTACGCGCCGTACGTACAGCAATTATGAAATGAAGAACTACAGTACGTACGTATTACGAGTACGAGTAGTATTGGTTTGTCATCGATTCTTGCTATCGCAACGCAGTAGTACGTACGCGCCGATACGGGGACTCGTATGAGCATGATTATCTCCAAGAATCACATTGTTGTAATCAGAAATCAGAATTGGGATTACCATAACTCGTACGAGTACTGTCAAGCCTGCTCACCACGAATGAAAACGACAACAGCACGGGCCGGACACGCGAAATCTATGTCTTGCACACACATAATATTGTGCCAACCCCAGCCATGCGTATGAGTACGTAGTACGCTCCTTACGTTCTCTCGTGGTATGTGCCGACAAAAAATGTTCCTCCATCTTCTTTTCTAAATTTGTCGTAGAACTAATACTACGTAATACAGTAGCAATGGTAAGTTATCGGTACAACTCTTACATGTTACAAGTACATGTAGTAATTGTGGAGGTACCGTACTTACCGTAAAACTGTAATAAGTAATAAAGGAATATTTACCGCGTCCAATCTTCGAATCAATCTTTTATTTTGATCCGAAATTTCCGTTGTGAGATCGGGTTTCAATGAACGGAAATTTTCCTAAGACTTGCGATTTCAGCATATTGTGTGAACGTGCTTGCATCTAAATGAAACAGATTGTAGCCACAACAGCAATAAATGAACATGCTTAATTAGCAGGATTTTTGTCATAAACATCCAACACCAATCAGACAGTAAAGTACTTTATTATATATCTTCGCACTTCCTAACACACTCAAAGAATTTTCTTCGAAAAACTGTTTATTTACAACAATCTGCTCAAGTTCCAGTACGTACGGCACCTTACAATTCTGACGACAGTAGCTTCGTGTCGCAAGATAGAATATCCATATCCTAACACCTCATTTTCCAAGGATCAAGGCAAAAAAATGATGAACACGATGAAAACTTCCTTCCTCGCTGTAGCCATGTTGATGTGCGTCTCGTACATCCATGCATCGGTAGTAATCGAAGGCGACAGCGTACGAAGTGTTGGCAAACCTTACTACAGATTCGAAGCGTCTTCTCACGAGGATCGCAACTTGAAGGAGCGCAACCTGAAGAAAAGCAAAGGAGACAAGAGCAAGAAAGGAAAGGGAAGCAAATCCAACAAGGGTGCCAAGTCCGACAAGAAATCCAAAAAGAAATCCAAAAAGGGCGTCACGGAAGAGCCATCCGCCGCTCCATCTGCGGCCCCATCCGCGGCTCCTTCCGCATCTCCAACAGCGGCCCCAACAGGTGCTCCAACTGGTTCCACAACCGTCTCTTCCACCGCGACTTCTTCTCAAGAAGGAAGCACTTAATTTTGAATGGAAGCCACAACTGTCATGGCTGCGAGTGCACCGCGATACTCTGATCGGAGCGAGATCAAATTAACATCTCTATTGCATCCGTCGTGTTTTGCAGTAATCCTCCGGCATCAATCAAGTCTTTGGATCTTTGGATCATAGTGTGTAAAATCGTTTTTAGTCTTAATGTTAACATATTGTACAGCGGAAGACCAGCTGCAGCATTTTTCTAAGAAGATACCAACAATGAATCCGATGAGACACGCTGCTGTGATCACATTTCGTGTCTTTCCATCAAGCCCACCATTCCCTGACTCCACTCAATGGGGCCGCCTAATATTTCCTTACCGGACGAAAAAGAAGACGACGGTAAGGACGAGGCACCTCAGTACCAACTGGAAGAATGCATTTGGGCTCTTGCTTTACAGTATTGATATCATTTCGAAAGGCCTCTTCTTCACTTGAGAGCCGAAGTTTCGTACCTGCAGTAGTATCGTACCGTATGTAGCTTACAATTTCCGCAGTAGAGAGAAACTTCGAAGTACATATAGAACCATTATGATTCTGTATCGGTACGTTAGTTATTTTGTACGTACCCGTACTTGTACGTGCAAGAATGAAATGTTGCTCATAACCTGTGAAATGTTAATAGACTCCTAGTTCTGCATGATTACGTGGTTTACAATAAGAGTGAGGTTATTCACTAGCTATTCGTGATCCAGTGTTATCCTCACAGTCTGTGATTCATTCATTTTTTCCCGAGGCCTTTTTTGTCGCGCCATGAAGATGCGTCCAAGGTCCAAGTAACGTACCTCCGTTGGTAGTACCGTACCGTACGTCTGTACTTTGCTTCGTAATAAAAGCGCACGGCAACGCACGGTACCGGTAGATACGCAAACTTCCGAGGTTGTGGCAGGAATTTGTTCCAAATAATGAGTGTACGTGTGAGGTAGTACACACACCACAATCACGAGTAGCTAGTGAATAACCTCACTCTTTATTGTAAACCACGTATTATCAAGCACTAGAGAGCCTATCAGCATTTCACAGGTTATGAGCAACAACAGGACTCACCTCCTCATCAGACTCATTAACCATCATCAGACCGCAGCTTGATTTACTGCACCTCATCTCCAGCTTCTGCAGAGCACGAATTGTTTTGCGACTGGATCTCTTCATTTCCGGACGAAGATTCGCAAAAATTTCCGTCCGACAGGAGAACTCGGTACTAAATCACGTAGAAACATACGGTACCTTCTCCTCAGAACCCTACTGACACCTTCTTCCAAGCAGCTGTCAATCCCTCACACCATACTTTGTTAGATATCGCAAACACCGAATAACAACAAAGACCATGACCAGAACTAAACGTACGACACAGCAGTCCTCCAAAAAGGATAGAGGCAATAACAGGCCCTCTCGTCATCCCATCCGAGACTACCTGGTACCCTCCCCTCGTAAACCCAACCAGCGACAACACCGTCTCGAGCTCTCTGTATTCAATGGCAACATCCAACGCGAACTCAGAACACTGGAACTGCTCTTCCCCATTCACTCCACTCCCCTCATCTACGATGGACCTCTCTTCTCATTTAAACCAATGTATGCTCCTAATCAGGACACATATCACAACAGCATCTGCAACATCCACACTACCGAACTTCCGGATAGTGATAAAATAGTCATGCTCGGAGAAGACCTCAACACCCTCATTCACCCCAATCATTTCCACCAACCACCAGTCAGCAGTCCTAATGAAACCCCACGATATCAGTACAGTAACGCCTTATTAAACTACATGTACTCACTACTCCCCCTTCAACAGGACACACCTCCAGCTACAATTACCAAACGTCGACAATCAAGACCCCCACGGCACATGGAATCAAGCCCGGAAGCATCCCCCCGGAAACACCCATCCCTGAAGCCAACACGTCTCATCAACTCCCCACCACATCAGACTTCTACCAACCATGGTGACGACTCCGACAGTGATAAATCAGCTTCATCTAACTCCCTCCCCAATCCTCCCACGGATCTTCAAGCGAGATTTGCTGCTGAATATCTCAACGCCAACAACAGAACTTCTACTCCGACTTCATCCTCACCTACACAGAGTGAGGGCCCTAACATCGCCGAGTACCAAAATACCGTTGAAACTAACCAACCGGTGGAGACGATTATCAATGCATATGACAAGGAATTCCAACACATTGACAACCAACTGGACACGATTCGCAACAGCCTCAACTCTCCCCCTCATGATCGGCATACAACAACACTGGATCAACGACATATGCCATCAGACCCTCGTCTAATGGAACTCATTAACGATGCAGTCGCTCGTAACTCAACATCCTGGCAGACCAAACTATCTGAAGCTTCAAATGTATGGAACACCCAATTTGAATCACTCAAACAAGACATGGAGACCATGCACACCGCAATACAAACTAAGAATCAGAACATTGAGCAAGCTCACTCCGATCTCACTCAAGCAAGGGAGACAATCCAACACCTTACGGATCGTCTTGAACAGGCCCTGGCTCACAACCAGACCCTCATTAATCAACACTCTACTGCTACAACACTGTCTCGGGACCTCTCCACAGCAGCATCCACAACCTGGGCACTAGACCAACGGATCAACAAAGCCTCAACTGTCCTATCCAGTCTTAAATCCCACACTATTGCCCTCTCCACATCGATTGATGAAGCTAGTAGTATCACGTCCAAAACACCCAACACAGCAGAGATTAGTCGCCTTATTGAGGGAATCATAGACAAACAAATGAGTCAACTCCTTGAGGGAATCATCGACAAACAAAAGACAGAACTAATCAGTATGGGACAACAAATTGAAACACACACCGCCTCGACTGCTTCTCAACATATCCAAATGATGAATACTAACCTCCAGGAACTAGAGACAAAAATCCAAACACTCATCAGACACAACATCGACGAACTGGCATCAGCAAAACAGGATCCCATTATTCAAAGTATTAAAGACAAGGTTTGCACAGCCGCCCTTCAGGAGGTGCGAACACAGGCCCAAATCCTATCCGATCAATTCAACACTGAAGTAACCCACACTAAGAATCACATAAAACAAACAACTCAGAACATGCTAACCCAGCTCCATTCAACACACGCTGATCTCGCCGCACGGATCTCCAAAGAGACCACTAAAGCAACGAACAACATTGCAACTGCAACATCAAATGTCCATACAGAATTGGAACAGGCAGTAACAGACCACCTCAACTCTGACTTGGTAGCGGTGAATATAACAGACCTCCTCACAACCTCCCTCTCCACTATCGTGAAATCCGCTGACTTTACTACGACCGTGGATACAACACTGCATAAATGTGTTGAAGAATCCGAGTCCTTGAAGGACCTCATCGACCATCACATTCAACTGGCAGTCCAACCCCACGGGCCTTTTCCCCAGGCCCAAAAGACTACCACACAGACCCAAAAGACTCCCTCATCATTCCCCTCACAACCGGTGGATGCCTCTGATACGGAGGACATTCCATCCCCTCCCTCAGACACGGACTCAGACACCATCGCAGACCCACCCTGGACAAAGGATAGGAACCCCGAACGCTGCCGCTTTTGATCCCAACGAGTCCAGGACTACAAGGCACGACAGGATCGCATCGATAATGACATCACTCATGCGCGGAATCACCGAATTAGCAAAGCTATTAGAGCATTGGAACACAAACACATTGACTCCAATCTGCTTCCTCAGGAGAACCGCTATCTTACTTCCACGGAATTCAATGCCATATATAATGATCTCTACAGCATCTTCACTCTCGAAAGCCTACCGTTTACTCATCTTGATGAACTTCATATCCATCACAGCTGTCTTCCTCCTAACCATGACGAATCTGATGAAAATGTCCGCAAGATTAGTACTTTCCTATATCAACGACTGTCCCAAACTATAGATGCCTCACTGACAAAACTCCGCGGTCTCATTACACCATCGGGTCATAGAATGGATGGATATGAAGCCCTCTTTGCTATTGCACGTAACTCTCTCTCTTATCTTCGCCCAACATCAACGGGATGGGGACCATCATGGACTCCTACCGATGAACCAGGATCATATGCTGGCAAACTTATTGAGTTCATTCGGCACAGCCGACTCTCTCGACAACATAACTACTCTGAACTKGATCAGAGCTTTGAATTTGCCGCTCAGGTCATGAACAACTACAACTTTGCTGCTGGCAACTATCTCATGTTTGAACTCAATACATTCAAACACATGAACTCTGACCCTGCTTGTGTCTCTCCACCTCAACATCTTCGCTTAGCCTCGATGATCGCTACCGTACTCGATTATCCAAGCAACCCACCTCCCCAGCATCAGACTGAACGAGTGACCCCTCAAATCCACAGACTTGATACACCAAGGAAGAAATTTGAGTACAAAAACAAAGTTCAATGCCAGTGCTGCAAAACCTACGGTCACGATGTGGGTGACCAAATCTGCCGATTTGGTGCCCAACTCCATCATGCTCAACGATATGCAAAGGACTACCCCAATGAATTCAATCACAATGCTGACAAACATCTACGAATGCATATGACCAAAGTTGTCAAACTCTTTGAAGCCAAGCTAGGCACCTCAATATCCACCAAAACGCAACACGAAAAGGGTCGGGAAGAATGGGTCACTGCATTGGCCTCAGATACCTCCACTACTACGGTCCCCACACATTCACCCCCACACACAAAAACAGACACTAACGAATAGGAATTCCGCCGGATTCCTAGCGGGGTTCGGCCAACTCCAGATTGTCTACGATGTGTGAAATATCTCGGCTTTCCCCCAGCCCTCCCATCCCATCCGGACACTGCCCTCTTTCACTTACCTCCGCGTCCCGCCACCAATCAATTGACCACCATTGCGACCGCCTCTGTCCCTGTCTCCAACACGGATACTGACACTATCCCTAACACGGATACTGATACTGTCCCTGTTATGAGCAATACGGATATTGATCCTGCTCATGTTACGGATACTGATCCTGCTCATGTTACGGATACTGATACTATTCCTACTACGGATACAGTACTCACTCCACCTACACACTGCTGTACTGCCACCGCAGTAGAATCTACTACTACCACAGAAAGACCTTCCMCGCCAAAACCTGATCCTACGCCCCTCGCA